CATCTCCCATCAAAAGGATTTAAATAACCAAGCCAAACCAAAAAGCTGTCCAATCTCACATGACCCTTATCATCATTGCACGGTTCTCTCTGCGTGTCTGTATTATTCCTTTCTCCCATCCTGTTGCCTGTCTTGTCTATTTAGATTGTAAGCTCTTTGGGATGGTGTCTCATTCTGTGTATGTACAGTGCCTGACACAATGGAGCCCTGTTCTTGGTTAGCTCCTAGGCTCTGCCATAATAAACAGGATAAATAAGGGAGGGGGCAAGGAACTTCTCCCGCATTTGTGCCCTTGCCAAGAGCCAGACACAGTCCTTCTCCTTACACGTAAACAGGGCAAGATCTCCAAAAGGCTTACGCCACCGGTAGCACTAACCTGCCCAAAGGAAGGGAGAGACCAAGCCACAGCTCTGCCTGCACTCTGTCAGCCCTCAGAATTGGTGCCGTGTGGGGAAAGGGCATGCTGCACCTTGTGAAAGGATGTGATTGGGAGCTGCTCTTGCCTTTGTTGTCACAAAGTTCCTGAAGATGTTGGACTAGATTCTGCATTGCATTAAACCTTGTGCAACCATTTCCACCTGTGCACAGTGGGTGCATAATGCCACTGTTCTTACCCGGTAGCACTATGTGCCTGCTTTGCACAGGTGGAAATGCCTATGCAAGTTGCAGGGCTATGGAGATTCAGGCCCATTGCATCTGCCTCATGCCCAATGCCTTTGCAACCTCCCTGTATCCCTGCACTGTGGCTCGGTGCTTTTAAAGGTACAATGCAGCCCTTAGCTTATATTTTCAGTTCTATTGTCAGTTCTTTCTTCTTAGAAAGTGGGACAGAAATAACAGTGGTATGAGTAAGGCCAGGTCTACACTAACCCCCTAATTCGAACTAAGGTACGCAACTTCAGCTACGTGAATAACGTAGCTGAAGTTCGAAGTACCTTAGTTCAAACTTACCTCAGTCCACACGCCGCAGGCAGGCTCCCCCGTCGACTCCGCGGTACTCCTCTCGTCTAGCTGGAGTACCGCAGTCGACGGCGAGCACTTCCGGGTTCGACTTATCGCGTCCAGACAAGATGCGATAAGTCGAACCCAGAAGTTCGATCGCTCGCCGCCGAACTACCGGGTAAGTGTAGACCTACCCTAAGTGGAGGAAATACTGGAAGTTAGATATTGAGCCCATCTAGGTTAATGGGAGCATGGGGGATTTTAGGTGTAGTGCCATATTTGGTCTTTCCTAGTTGTACTTCCTTTTTAATACCAGCTTTGTTGAATGCTTGTACCCTGTAAAATCATTGCTAATACAGTTTCATTAAAAGCACTACAGGCAGAGTGGAGAGAGAGTCAAGTTTCCTTTTACTGCAGTAAAATAATATATTGTTGTAAGACTGATTACATTGATCTGCCACAAGGCAATGTGAGGTGAAAGAAAACTGTTGATGCTTCCGTCTTTGATGCTTCCATTTTATGTAAAGGTTGCGAGCTCAAATCTGTCTAGTACAGCAGCTCTTAGATGACAAGTAAAATGAAATCTTAAGAATAAAACAATTGATTTGTCTCTAGCATTTGCAGTAATCTGAACCTTATTTTTAAAACATTCTTGGTCAAAACCTTGGCATTGGGACCAAGTCTAAAATCCGTGGCAGGTAAATGGGTATTAACCAGCTTCGATCCTGTGCTTTTTCCTTTTCTGGAAACCTAAACATAATCAATTTGTGTCAGTGACTGGAATACTAACCCAGAATTTTGGTTCCATGATTGGCAATGCATTGAGTAGAAACACTGGGTACACTACAAAGACACCTAACATTGTGGACGTAAGGGACAGTGGACTCTCTGTTTTTATTTTACTTTGTGCCTTGAGGAAATATGTTGAAGTAAACCTGTTACATTTCTTACCACTTTACTGTCCTTTACTATCACTCACTCTCCCCATCCTCCTACTCTATCAAACATTTCTTTACTCACCTCTGGTCATGGTCCAGCAGCTCAGATTTCTCTAGCCCTCTCACCTCCCTGCACTGGTGCATCTTTGTTCTACCAGATCCCTGGTGTCTTTGTTCAGTACCATCCCCTCCTCTGCTCTTGACTCATTTGCCCCACAGTTCCCACTGTTCAGTCCATCTCAGCAATCATTGCTCCCCCTTTGCATCAGTTTTCACTGTTCATGTTCCTGTGCTATTGAGGAACTCTGGTGAAAATCCATAGACCACACTGATTTTCTGCACTCCTCAATTTGTCTGCTCTTCCTTAAATTCTGCCATATGCCTCCCCCTCCCTTGATTGGCGTGCACGCCTTCCCGCTGCCACCTCTTCTCTCTCTGTCTTCTTATGCACTCTCAGCTTCCTCCCCACTTCGCTTTCTGCACAAGATTTTTCTACCATTTTTTTTGTCCTTTCAAGTGTTAGTATCAAGTGCAAGCTCTCCTCCTCCCATGGCCTCACCCATCTATTCTGCCTGGACCCCAAGTCATCCTCTCCTCCTTCATCCCATTCTCTGATTTAGAAGTGTCCTCCCTTACTCTCAACCTCCAGTCCCTGGATTACCTGCCCTTCCTCTGTTCAACTGATCCTCTTGATCCCATCACCTTCTGCCTTTTCACCTCTGATACCCCTTTTAAGGTCTCAGGTTGATCATAACAATGTTGAGGTATCCAAATTTACTAATCACTATTGAAAATATTGGCCTTACTTTCTTAAGTACCATGTGCGCCTGGGCATATGTGCAGCTTTTAATTAGCACATATTCAAAATGTTATGCATTGTATGCGCTGTATAAACAATAATTGAATTAAACCATGTTTTCCTTTTTATTTTTGAGAGATCTACTCATTGATAAATGGCTACATATTTGTTCATGCTGATTAGTGTGTGTGTGTGTGTGTGTGTGTGTGTGTGATGTTACATTCCTACCTAATTCCTTCTTGCTATCTCTGTGGAAATGTCACCACGGGATAACTAGCTACAAAAATGGCCCCATGTAGTACATTTATAGCTAAGGAACATTATGAGCTGTAATCTTAGATGCACAAGGGTGTCTCATTCTGTGTTTTGTTAAAATTTCCTGCCGCTTCTGATCCTTTATGCTTATTAGTGGCTGATCCTGTGCATATTAAACTCAATGGCAAAACTCCCAGTAAAATCTTGGTGCAGGATCAGTCCCCAGCTGTATTTACAATATAAGTGTTCATCTGACCTTGAGTACAGGAGATAAGAACAGAACTATTAGTCTTGATCATTATTAATATGAGTGCATCCAAGTACCTATGTTTGATCTCTGTACACTGCTGCCTTCTCAGCTAAAATCACCCAGAAGCCTGCAATAAATCTACCACTGTTTTTTGTTGGTGGTGCATCGTGCATCAGATGCAACCAACCATCTGCTTAACATTGGGCAAAGTATGTTTTGTGGGGTTTTTTTGTTTACTTTACATTTTTATTACATGGGTTTCTTTTTTACCCTGTCCTTTGTTTGTAAATACCTTTTTGCTTATCTTGGTTACGCTAATGATCACTCTAGGTTGCAGAACAGTTTCTGTTATGGCCCTCATGTTTTAGCTCATTTGTAGCTGTGTAACCGTTATCTTTTAAAGCAGAAATGTGTCATACTTAGTGTCTTTCCAATGGTGAAAGATTTAAAAGTTAGAGGAAAAATCGGTTTGGTTTTTTGGAATATGATGGCGGGGGGACCTCTCCCCCATACACACATACATTTGCCATGTATAATAGAATGTAAGCAATATTCAAGAAGATGGCATTCACCTCTAGGGGTAGGGAGCAGGTGGTGAATACACTGCCAGCTTCCCAAAGTGTTCCATAGGCAATGACAAAATCAGCTTTAAGTTCCAGCAGAGGCTCAATAAGAGTTATAATCTTAGATGCACAAGTGTCTCTTTCTATTGTTAACATTTAGTTCTGCGGCTGATTCTTTTGGCATATGAGGGGCTGATACTGTGTGCTTTAAACTCAATGGCAAAGCTGAAGGGCCCCAAAGGAATCACTGCCTCTTCTGGGTGCCTTGGCCCTGACATTCCCTGGCTGCTCTGTGGACATTGCCAGTGAGATCTGAACTGTCCAGTCAAGTGGAAGTTGCACAAAAATAATATCACTGCAGCCAAATTCTCCAGGTAGTTTTACTGCTGCTGGGAGCCACAGCCTGGCTTCCACTGAAAGAAACCTGGGGCAAAATAGAGAACACCCACGGCAAAATAAATACCCATGGTACAGTTTCAATTCTGGCTTTTCTTGTTAAATGTCTACCACGCAGCTTATAGAATGTGTCATGGGAGTGAGTAGAAGTTGCTGCAGGAAGCTGAAATGTTAATTTTTTTGACTTTTTAAAAATGATGCAATCTTAACATTGCATAAATGTTGAGGGCCAGAACCTCTGCTGTTGTAAATCAGCATAGCTCCACTGACTCTGTGTATTGGTTTATACCAGTTGAGCATCTGGCCCTGAATATTTTGCCTTTACATGTAGGTTTTTTTCCTATATGTAGGTTATAGTGCAAAAAGTATACATGCCTGATATTGGTTTATATTCAGCCTTGTACTGTTTGTCACCTGGGAAGCCCACCATGGAACACCCAAATATTATTGAGTTCTACTCATCACTCCTTTCTCAGATAAAATTCCTGTTGGCTTCAGATGAGAGCTTTGCCTGGGGAAAGGGTGTTGAATGGGACCCTCTCTGGGAAGGGACCCACAGCTGTGTTTGCAGCAGAGTTGTGGTGGACGGCTGTAACTTTTTAAAGATAAATATATTATTATTAAGCCTGACAGTTTTAATAGATCGATAACTACATGGTATAGCAACACATATTCAGGAAAAACAATTTCTGTGGAGCATAAGCTTCACAGTCTCTGGCCTTAATGTTTATCAAGAGCCATTTATGGGTTTGTACACGCTCCTTTATGAAGCACTTATTGATTAAGTAGTGATGCCCCTGGTCCTTGGACATGGTTGACTATTTTTCAATTAAAATAAAAGAATATTTGTGTTACAGGTTCATTTCGAGCAGTTTGAGTGTGGTGCCGTGAGAGATGCTGTTGTCCATGACAGGATGGGATTATTATGATCAAATACTCTATTTTGACTTCACCCAGTGGCCAAGAGCTTCATATGGTAGACAGCCAAGGACTGGACTTTTACTAATAGTGTAACAGGTAAGACTATTGAAATCAGTTAATTTATTGACAGCTTCCAGGATTTCTATTAACTGCAGTTGTCCATAGCATTATATATCGCTCTCCTGTTTATTTTTTATATTCTATAGCTACTTTTACTGTATTATCTCAGAGTGAGGTTTGTCATTTAAATTAATCCTTCTATTCTCCAGGTGTGATAAGGCACAGACCAGGCTTAAGATTCATATTAGATAGGAACAATACAATTGTAATCACATACCTCTGAACAATAGGGAGAAATACAAAGATGTGCTTAGACGTTATGTTTACTCTGTGTGTGTGTCTTAAATTGTGATAAGGTAAGCACTTGTTTTTCCATAAAAACTGTATTAGAATTGCTACTGGTCTAGAATGTTTGCACTATCATATCCGTTCTCTTTTTACTGTGGAAATCTGTTTTCTGCAAACAGATGTAAAGAGATTATTCAATTTCACTTCCAAATAGCTCATGCATTACCTGAGAAATTATGCTTTCTTGAAAAAGAAAAATGTTTTCGACTTAATCAAAGGACAAATATCCAAGGGATGGACTCTGCTCTCCCTTACATCTGCATAAATCAGGAGGAACTCTGCTGAACTCAATGGCATTGCACTAGTCTGAAATCAATGGAAGTAAGGTAAAGCTCAGGCCTGTAGGAGCTTAGAATGGCCAGCATACGTGTTGTTTTATTTCAAGAGCCTGAGAACCCTTCCTTACCTTTTGGTGCCAGGCTAATTAATCTCCCTGCTCAGAACTATCCATAAAAATTAATTTACTTAATTTGATGTCATCTGATGTGATGAGAGTCGATCAGCCACTACTGAATATAACCAAAATTAAGCTCATCTGCTGTGTCTCCAACAGACACCTCAGTAGTTTGGGGGCGTGTTTCTCCCTATCCCCTGATTCTCTGTATCTTGCTTCCCTCCCCTATGTGATATTGCAGCTAAGCCAAAATGTAGAAACTACTCATTAGTCTGACACCACAAACAAAGTGCCAGACTGCTTGGTGGTGCTAGTGACTGTCCTCTTTGGGACATAAAATCCCATGTTTATTTGACACTGGTTAAAGTCAATAATAGTCATCATCTGTTTCGTGACCCAGTAAAAGGGGCCATTTATGAGTCTGTTAAATTTTCTCAATGCTGCTATATATATGTACTTTAACAGATATTGACAGAAGAACTATTTTTGTTGTAATGAATGGGGGGAGGAGGGGAATACAGACGGTTTACTGTTCATCAGTGCATTGGAGATAAAAAACAATAATTAGAGCAAGAGGCATATTTGTAAACCTGATTACAAACTTAATCATATATTCATAATGTCTGTCCTTTGAATTCAGAAGTAATTATTTAATGAATATATTTGTTTCAAATATTTTCACCAAAGCTGTGCTGCATGTGTTATACTTTGTTACTTTGGCAGGCGTAGAAGGAAGGAAAAAAGACACAACTAATGACTGAAATAAGATGGCAGTTTACAGTTTGGAGGATAAATAGTGTTGTAGCTTAAATTCGTGTGGTACAGTATTAAGGAAGTTTAATGGTAGTGCTTTCTGTTAAAAACATATTGTTTAAACTCTGGGCTTCATGTGCTGGTCTTTCTCTCTAACCCTAAGTTTACTTTATTCTAGATGAACTATAGGCCGACAGTATGTGTCTATCATAGACATAACTCTTTTATTCCAGTTTTATTGTGGTGTAGCTCTGCTGAAATACAGTTATATTGGTTTAAAACTGGAGTAATCCATTGGTGAATCAGAACCATTTATGCTTAGATAATCCTTATCTCCTAACCCCCAGTTTTTTATCCACTTTATGAAAAGTCTTTGTGAAACTTAATTTGTGGACAAACTGGAAGGAAGCAGGCAGTGGTGGTACTATGATTTGTAGTCTAAGATGTTGTGTAGGATATGATACATGCTGTGTCTACAAATAGATGCATCAAATCCTCCTTTCTAGGCCCTCTAAAACTTTCCCATTTTTCACTTGCCTTCCACTCCTAGCCATCCTATCTTGCCTACCTATATAAACAAAATATATTTTAAAACTGTCATATTTTAAAAGATCCTAGGAAACAAGATGAACCACATCTCCTCTTAATCCCTTCCTCTCATCCTACAATCTATACATCGTCTGGGTTGCTGATTTTACTGAGGAATCCATGCAGTGCATTGAATCCACACTGAAATTAGGGTCCCTTAATATGTCTGTAAAGTGCCTCCAAACATATGGTGCTATAGAAATGACATAATGATAAATATAGGTAAAGTTTAGCTCTCAGAAACGTTACATTTAACCACACAATTAGCATTAAGGGGCAAATCTTGCTTCTGGCTCCTAGCCTGGGTCACCAGATTGCCTACTGGTGGGTCATTTCTTATGACTCTACTATCCCTCGTTCTCCCACCTGAAATCACCATTCTGTGGTGATGGGGAAATAGCCCTGCAGTGCTGGGGGAACTACAGAAACCCCAGAAGCTCCTAGCATCTTCCCCCTCCTTTGCACAGCAGAAGCGCATATTTGCCACAGTAGTCAAGGCCCTGTGCATCATTCAGAGGTGGGGATAGTCCTGGCCTCTAAATCAAGAACCAGCATGTTTTTATAGGAACCTATTCTCACCTCAGTATTTGGAGGGGTTGGAGGGGTTACATGAACTCTCCAAATAGTAAAACTTTGTACATGTTTGTTGTCTTATAGGATTTTTTTTTAAACGGGAAAATTTTGCTATCGATTATACAACTGACATCCTTTTCCCCCCTCTCATTTAATAGCAGCACCTTTTTTGTGCTTGGGCACCTCAAAGCACTTTGGGTATGAAAGTAAAATATATAAATTTTAGAAAGTGATGAGCCTGTGATGGTATTACATCACCTTGAGCGTTCACAAGAAAGCTGAACATGCACTCCTTGTATCAGCTTTAAGTCTGTGACATGTGATTGAGATTTTGAAGAATTAACTGATTGGGTATCGTGAAATGATTTTGTACTGTGTCGTTCCATCAGGGTTATTATAGAAGTGCAATAGACAGACATGCTGCTGTGAATAGAGCTCAAATATTTACAGTAGTGTGCTTCTACGTGCATGTAAAAATATTCTATCATTTGGGTGCACTAGGGATGAGTGAACAGGTTGGTACTGATATTACCACAGATTCTAATACAGGGTCCAACTGTTTAGATATGTTCTGATTCTCTCCCACCATCCCTGAATATCTTATGAAACCTGACAGAAGCCTCAATGCACCTTCTATACCTAGCAACAGAGGGTCCTATGGCACCTTTGAGACTAACAGAAGTACTGGGAGCATAAGCTTTCGTGGGTCAGAACCTCACTTCTTCAGATGCAAGAAGGTGCCACAGGACCCTCTGTTGCTTTTTACAGATTCAGACTAACACAGCTACCCCTCTGATACTTGACTTCTATACCTAGTTTATCTCTACCCAAAAGACCTCAGGCTACCCCTTCCACCCACACACCCACCCTTACGGGGGTGAAAAGGGGGCAGTAGGCCACAGTGCTGTCCCCTAACCCCTGGGGAAAATGAGAGTCTTAGGGGGAAGGGATCTTCACTTCTGGATCCAAGAGAAGCAATGTTGGACCTTTAAGAAGGAGACCCTCTTTATTTTCCCTCACACTTGAATAGCAGAAAGAGAGACAAGGTGGAACCTCGGTAGAGATCCTTTTTTCCCTCTTACTAATAGATTCAGGATATGGAGGATACTTGGGTGCAGTCTTCTTCCAAATCACCCCCAATTCATTGTTAAAGGAGCGGGAGTGTGGCTGGCTGTCATGCTGAGCTGGGAGGACTAATTGGCATGCCTCTAGCTCTACCTGGACTGAAAATAGTTAAGGCAGAGCTACAATAGATAGGCACTGATCAGAAATCCCACTGTAGCTCCAGCCTGCTGCTAGCTGCAGTGCTGAAAGCTTCACCCAGGGGATGGGTGAGCAGACCCAGCTATCACAAAGACTAACCAAAATTACTCAGTCTTGTTCAGATGGCCAGATATGGCCGGTGCTTGTATTATCCAGAAAACGAAACAATGAAATCTCGTAATCCTGTTCTTGAAATTTATGTGTCAATTAAAACTGGGGAAGCTTCTTCACAACTTTATATCTCTTATGAGGCTTTCATCTTTCAGGCTTTATCCCTCTATTCATTATTTAATCATCTCATCAATCATTCAATTTCAACTCTTGAGCAAGCTCAGCAGGCAGAGGAGGAAACATTACATGAAGAGAAAGTGTCAGATACATTCACCAACATGTTCACAAATAAAACTAATTAAGCTGCTTTGGAAAGCTACCTAGATTGTTTCACTCTAGGCGCTCTTCTGAAAAGACTGGGAAAAGCATGTCCTAGCTGAAAAGGGAACAAAAACAGAATTACTGTTAGAAACCAGGCTGCATCCTAAGCCCTGCATCTGAGTAGCCGTACACTTCGGGGATGTTTGAAATCTGAATGCCCATCTGAATTTTGGTCTTTACCTAGGAAAGGCAAATAGGTTCTTGAGGGGTTTTTTTTTTGGAACCTGTGTCAGATCAAACTTTAAGTCAGGATATTTGGATAATACCTTCCCAGCTTCGCTGTTTTTATTTTTGAACCCCTCTGCATTTCTTGTTTCTGGTCAGCACTGTGGTAGGATTGCCGAAAATATCCTATTTCGACTGTATTTCCAGCCTGACTAGCTCCAAGATTTCAAGATAATTTTTTTGCAGAGAGCAGAGGATCAGAAAATCATCTCACTGTCTGGGTCATTATCCATAATGAATTGCACTCCTGAACCTTTTGGGGTTCACCTGGCTCTTTAGAATAATGGTATATTTTTCTTCATTTGGGATTTGCATGGTTTTGGGTCATTCCCCTCCCCATCCTGATCCCTTATTGACCAACATATTGTACCATTGTAATGAGAGAGACACTTTACGCTTGCCTCTTGTACACAAGAAAAGTTTCCTCCTGTGATGGGATGAGAATGAAAGAGTGATAGAA